AATGGAAGTGATACACATACCTTGTAGGATGGTTGTGAGGATCAGATGAGAATAATACATAGAAGGGCTAGCCTCCTGTCTGGTAGGCCCTCAGGAAATGTCAACTGGTGGAGAATTTCTGTCATTAGAGGTCTTTTAAGAGAGAACAGATATGCTTCTGCCCTGCATGGTTTAATCCTTCATTTCACTAAAACCCCTGGGGTTGAATCAGGTCATTTCCCAAGGCCCTTTCTAGTCCTGTGACTCTGAGATAGGATTCCTTCTTCAGAGATGTTTCCACTGTCAGGGAAATGAGAAATGTCTTCAGCAGTGGCCCCCTCAAGGCTTGCTCTGCAGGCAAAAACCAGTTTGGAGAGTTTCATCGTCTGGACGCACTTCCTTCTGCCACAACTGCAGTTTCATTTTAGCTGTGGTTAATGACAGTGAGTAACCCCACATGAGAAGGCCGCTGACAGGTTTTCAGCAAAGGACACAGCTAAATAGCTACGAAAGGATTAAAGACCAATCTCACCACCCAGAGAGCCTGCGTGTAAAATGCACACACAACTCAGCGATGATAATCAAAGAGCTGGGAATGGTTCTGTGGTTTCATGGACCAATAAAGAAAATGTAAAGCAATTTCAGGCCCTCTGCCCTCTTCCAGCAGTCTGTCCGCCTCACATGGAGATAAAAGGGCCGGTGATGCCTGAAAGAGAAGGGTGGAGAAGTGATCATTCTGCAGAGAAGGAGTCCGCTGAGCCACATTTCCATCAAGAGTCTCATTCCCAGGGCAACAAGTGGGATTGTTATCCATTTGGGGAGAAAATGATAACTTTGGGAGCATTGAAAAAAACCTTCAGAGGTTTCAAAAGCTCAGAAAGCTTTTGAAATGCACCACCTGAAACCGTGGTTGGCTATAGCTGGGTAATGCTGACTCATCCTATGAAACGCCTTCCCCGGTCTGATGGGACTTTGCTCTCAAATTCAATTAAGACTTATAGCACCTGGAGTCAGGAGGATGAGAGTTAAATTCAGGTGTCCTGAGTTGAAGTTATGTTACCCAAAAATCACAAACGGCTAGGCCAAAGCAGACCCCATCTCTTCAGATCTAGATAACTGAAGGGCATCTCAGTTCTCCTCGCCTCCAAACTTTGTTCCTTTTTCCTAGGTTACTTTATTCTTCTTGTGTCCAGAACTAATTCCACAAAGGGAAGAAAATAAGATACTGTTTTCTTCTTTCTCATCAGTGCTTGATCCACTGCAGTTACTTTATACCGGTTCTGTAAATGCTATTCTACGTGAGAATTTTTTTTTTAATTAATTAATTAATTTATTTATTTTTGGCCGTGTTGGTTGTTCGTTGCTGCACGCGGGCTTTCTCTAGTTGCGGCGAGCGGGGGCTTCTCTTCGTCACAGTGCACGGGCTTCTCATTGCAGTGGCTTCTCTTGTTTTGGAGCACGGGCTCTTCGGCATGTGGGCTCAGTAGTTGTGGCTCGCAGGCTCTAGAGTGCAGGCTCAGTAGTCGTGGCTCATGGGCTTATTTGCTCCACGGCATGTGGGATCTTCCTGAGCCAGGGCTTGAACCTGTGTCTTCTGCGTTGGCAGGCGAATTCTTAACCACTGAGCCACCAGGGAAGTCCCTCTAGTGATCTTTCAATGGCTAAATCCAATGCATCCCTCTCACCCTTAAACTCCCTGACATCTCTGAATCACTTGATGCTGTCCACTGCCTCCTTCTTACAAAATGAAATCTTCATTTTATTGCCATGATCTCACACCAGCCTGGTTCTCCTTCCAACTTCTCAGTCCTCTTCAAAGACATTTTTTCTTCTGCCACTCCTTCAGTGTAGGCCTGCCCGGCTTTCTTCTCTCCCTGGAAGATCTCATCTACTCCTACTGCTGCTTATATGTTTATGCCTCTCAATCTACAGCTGTCCTTGACTTCCCTCCTGACCACACTGTCAGCATTTCCGGGCAGGAGTAACCTATTAATATTTTAAACCCAGCATCTCCAAATCAAGACAGGTACCTTTTCAATCTGCCTGTCTTTCTGCATTCCCAACTTCAGTTAGTGGGAACTCACTAGAGTTGTCTCTAACTTCTTCCTCTTCTTCATCCCCAGCCCTGTCCTCTGAGTAGCCAAGACCTATTAGTGCTACTCCCACATCACCTCCTCATCCATCCATCCCTTCCTTCCCATCCCCACCACCACTGCCTTCATTTAAGCCCTCACTTCCTCTTCCTTCATTATTGCAATACCCCATCAGTCTGCTGCTTCCTGCCACCAGAGTGATCCTCAGCCACAGCGATGAACAGTTCACCCTCTCTGCAAGCCAAAAAAACCCATTTTTTTTCAATAGTTCCCCATTGTTTTAAAAATAAAGTTCAAGTTATTTTAGCCGGGCTTTCAATGCCTCCTAGAACCTAGTCTCAGCCGTCATTTCTAATCTCCTATTACTCGGCTTCTATTCTCCAAACACAGTTCCTTGCTTCTATGTAGGAATCCATCGATTCCCCGCTAGATGCTCTGCCTGTAATTGTTCCCCTTGGATTCTCTGCCCGTAATTCTCATTCCATTTTCACCTGCCCAATGCTATATCCCCCAAAGCCTTCCCTCCGAGTCCTCTGCTCACCTGAAGTTAGAACAAATCCCTCTTTTCTCTGTATCCTCATAGCATTTTTCATTTTGGACCGCAGTTGTAACACTTACACCTTTTTACCTCATATTGAGGTGAAATGGGTTCATTTTTCCTCCAGATTGTAAGATTCTTCAAAGTCCACTCCACAGAAGATTATGAAGTTTGTGCTTTTTAAAATTAAGCATTGTAACAGCAACTAGACTCAAAGTGTAAACTGCAGCTCTGGGACTGGATCTTTCTAGAGGGAGAAGATGATACAGAAGCATAGAGCCACTGCACTGTGTGGCAGGAAGTGGGCATGTCTTACCGCCATTTGTTTCCCCTAGTCTAGGACTTTGCACATGTCAGAAGAATGGCATGTTCTAGCTGGAAGGCCTAAAAGATCATGCAGTCCAATCTTCACGTGCCCTAGCATAGGGAACTGAGATCACTAAAGTTAGGGACTCGCCCAAGGTCACCAGATCAGTGAAAGGCCAAGCCCGAGGGCACACTCTCCCACACCCCTCTACAGCCCCTCCTTCTTTGCACCCAAGGGATGGGGGTAAGGTGTCACAGTTATTAATCAGTGTTATGAATATTCTAAAAGCAATACAATGTAATCAATGGATATGTCTGGGCTGAGTGTCCAAAGAAATAGGGAAGATCTTGAAGGACTTGCAATGTTTCTCCTTTCATGAATGCATCATTTCCATAAAACTCCTCTCCACTCCATTGATTCTACGCAGCCTGCGGGATCCTAGTTCCCTGAATAAACCTGAGCCCTGGGCAGTGAAAGCATGGAGTCCTAACCACTGGACAGCCAGGGGGTTCCCGAGAGTCAAATTGTTCTGTGGTTAATTAAGTGTTCAGTCACAGAAAAAGGGAAGACTGAACATTTTAAAAGGTCTCATTCCTGGATTGGTGCTCCTCCTGTAAGCCATTAGGAAAGTTCCAGAAAAACTGTCTGATTTTTTTTTCCTCTAAAAATGTTACATGATTGAGATAGGATTATTTTTTCCCAAAAGGTTTCTCAAAATCATTGCTTTATTCTCAATAGGACTTATTTTTTTTAATTAAAAAAATTTTTTTTCAATAGGACTTTAAACAAAAGTCTCATTAGAAGTCTCTCAAGAAATTTTATCCAGAAGAAAAGTTCTCTTTTAAAACTGCCTTTGTCCTTCTCTTTATAAACCACTCATGTCAGCCAAGTATATTATACTTATTCACACATTTTATACACATATTTTGAAGAAGTAAATGAAGAAATCTTTATTTCTTTTTTCCTGCATTAAAAGCAACCACATAACCTGTATAGATTAAACAAAATATACTCTTTTATTATTATTCCTACTTTATAAAAGAGAATGTCAAGGTTCTCACCCATTAGCTGGAGCAGAAAAAAGGAATAAAGAGTGTTATTACCGTCCAACGAATACCCCTAAAAAAGTATCTCAAGGTTCTCCAATTAACAACTTGATTAATTAGCCTCTTCTCCAACACAGCCAGGAGGTAACATGAGTGCTTTCCCTTTTTCTTTTCTTTTTCCCCCTAATTAGCAAATATATCTTATTTATACTTCACTGAAACCTGCACTGGAGTAAGAACCAGCCTGGAGAAAAAATGGATACATTATAGGAGTTTGTCAGAATGTAACTAAGTAATGGGTAAGAGAAAATAGCTGTTCCATCTTGCTCATTCAAACCACAGAGCTCTGCCTGCTTCTAAAGAAAAAGTAGTTTGGTAGTAAATCATTGCACAGCATTTATCTGAGCAGTCAGAAACAATAGAATCCCATAATAATTCATCATCATAAATAGTAGTAGTAATGCATTTCAGCATGGATTCAGCATTCCATCAGTCATGTCCCCTAGAACCTTACAATAGAAGACAGAACCCTAATAAAGTGTGGTTTACTCCATCCTTCTGAACACTGAAGAAATCACACTCACTCCATCTAGACATTATTTTTAACCAGGCTTACTCTTCGTATAGCTAATGAATAGTACTTCCTCCAAACGCTAACACTACTAACTTAATCATTGGATTGTAGCTTGCAGATGACCAAGGTCTGTAACCTATGCTTCTGTGAAGTAGTGGAATGAGGAGGAGGAACCTGAGTTGCAGAGAGGTTAAGAAGCATTTGCTGGTCACCTAGCTAGCAAATGACAGGGCAAGGGAGAGCACAGTCAGGTAGAAAGCAAGCCTGGGCTTCAGGGTCAGGCAGACTTAGGACTGGATCTCAGCTCACCTAATTCTAGCAACACTAACCTGGGCAAGGCACATAACCTCTCCCAGCCTTTTTTTTTTTTTTTTTAAACTACAAATATGTATAATACCCACTTCACAGATTTATGAGAATAAACAGGACAAAATGTGAAAACCACACAACAAAATTTCTGGCACATAAAAGATGTTTATTGTTTATTTGCTTCCCTCTGTTTACACATCTGCAGAAAGGGGGTAATAAAACCTACCTCAGTGTGGGACTTAATGAAATAATACCTGGAAAGGGCTCAGCACTGTTAGTTTTCTCTCTTTGTCCTCTTCCCGGCACCCCCAAGCTCCCTCACCCCCAGAGCAAAGCTGTCTCCAGGGAAAGGGACAGTCAGCATATTAGAAGACTTTAGAGATAGGAAGTTTGTATGTCAACAAGCATTTGACTTACCTACTGAATTTATAATTGTTTCTCAGGAAAAAAAAGACCAGAATTAAATATTTTAAAAAGAATTCTAGAGTCACTAGACAATTTCAGTATAGCTGGAAGCCCTCAAGGTGATAAAAGTATCAGAATGTCCCAACGTCAATCCCTCCCATTCAACCATCTAAGGGTTTCCTTTTTTTTTTTTTTTAAGGCCACAGTGTCACTTTAACTGAAAGTTAGATGGAGTGAGAACAAGGGGGTGGAGGTGAGGGGTGCAAAGAAAAGGAAAATGAAAACACAACGCACAAGACACCTGAGAGGAAAAGTAAGTTTTCATACAAATCTTGAGTTCTCTTCCAAAAAAAGATCATTGCCACTGACACGTTACTATCTGCTAGATGCTATGAAGCTCCCACACGACCGCTCTTTTGATAAAACAGGATGTTTCCAATATGAAATGTCCTTTCTAGCACCGCCATCCACACGCTTAGTCAACAGCAGAGGCTGGCCTGGCCGCGCGCTCTGGCAAACGTGTTCCCAGGTGTCAGCTTAGGGCCACCTTCCTCCAAAGCATGGTGTCAATTACATTTCTCATCAATTCCCAAATGAAGGAATGCAGGAAAAACCTTCCGCTCATCTTAAGGGCTGTTATTTAGTTAGTTAGCTAGTTTTGGAAAGTTCTTCTTTGGTTAAGATTGGATTTGTTTCAGTATTTACGTCCCTAATTTACCCACCCCGCTGACTGTGGCAAATCCTCGTTGTTTTCGCCCTTTGAGGAGTTCAGAGTCTGGTACAGTTTGTCTTTGAGAAGTACAGGAAGAGTTTCATAAGCATCTTTCAGTTGCAGGCACATAACCAATGGGGGGGTGGAGGGGGTGGAAACAACTAGAATGTCAAAATCTTTTTTTCCCCCTAAAGCACTCATTTCTTTTTCCTAAGATTTAGTTCTGGAGAAAAGAAAAAAAAAAAAAAAAAGATTGCAAATGCAAACCACCTCCGGAGGGAACCTTAGAGCAGACTCCAAAAGCGCGCGGCGCAGCGGGAGGGGTCCGGGCCGGCCCAGCGCTCGCTAGCAGGCCCCCTCCTCGGGCTCGCTGCTGGGCGAAGGCGCCGACGAGGCCTTGGACTCGCCGTCGCTGTTGCATTCGGCCCTGAGCGAGGGGCCGGCGCCGGCCGCGCCCTCCTGACCCCGCGCGTGGCGCTCCAGCAGCTCCTGGAGGTGCTTGATGTAACGGATGGCGGCGCGGAGCGTCTCCACTTTGCTGAGGCGCTTGTCCGCCAGCTCGCGGGGCAGGTGAGCTCGGAGGCGCGCGTAGCCCTCGTTCACGCAGCGCACCCGCTGCCGCTCGCGTTCGTTGCGCTTGCGGAGGAAGGCGGGCTCGAAGGCGCCGTCCAGCGGCAGGGGCAAGTACGGCCGCCGCGGGGCGCAGCCGCCCCGCTCCCGCTCCCAGCACGCGGCGTCCAGACGCAAGGAGACCCTGAAGGGATCCCGCAGGGGAAGGCGGGGCAGGGACCCAGGCACGCCCATGGGCCCCGGGAGCAGGTGGTACGGCAGGGTCAGCAGTCCGGCCTGTTTACGTTTCTCCATCATCCGCAGAAAAGCGAACCAATCACCCCAGAGGTGAATCTCTCAGCAGAAGACTGAAAATAAATCTTCAAAGCGGAGATGCTGGTCCATTCAGACTGCCTAGCACCGCCGCTGGTCTGCTTCTGGAGAAGTTTCTGGATCCGGAAGCTAGGTTCCAGAACAGGCTTCACGGAAACGTTGCATGATTCCCTAAGTTCATTGTACTCCTCGATCTTTTTATAATGATCCAGGCGGAGGTGATAGGCAGAGATTTAGGCGACCCCCCCCAAATCCACACTTCAAACCCTGTCTTCCCTTCTGATCTTATTTCAAAAGATTACAAAAGGGGTTCCTCTACACGGTCCCCTAGCCTGGAAATGTGAACGCACACCAAACATATAGTAATCTTCCAAAGCCACCAAAGCTTTTCAATTACTGTAATCCACCGGTCTGTGTCTTCATGAACATAGGAATCGTCAAGGTTTCAGAAGAGCTCCTCCCAGGAACCAACAGATCTCCTGGCGGCTGAGCGAAAGTTTACCAGAGGCTTTCTCCTTGAAAATCAAGACTTGACTGCCCTTTGTGGTTTCGGGCGTCCAGGGCTAATGGAAAGAGCTTTTAGGCTGTTTGCAAACTTACACTTGCTCTTTCATTTCTGGAGAGGTAGAGAGAAGACCTCATCAAAGGGAAGAGTGCTCCCTTGTGGTTATAAAATGTGTCAAGTTAAGGAGGACCCCAGGGAAGTCTTGAGGGTTTTCTTCTTCAAAACCAAAACTTTTAAAAACCCAAGTAGACATTTTTTGAAGAGAACAGAAAAGAAATATACTTTAGCAACAAATATAAGGGTCTGCATATTATTATGTTGAACACGGGGGCCGTGATGTATTTGTGCTACTTTTTAAGAGCACATCAAAAGACGGAGCAGTAACAAACACTTTTAGCCAGTTATTTCTCACAGTGCTTACTGTAAACACAGCTTAAGCACTTTTTCCCGACCTCTTCTGATCCCACCCAGGATATAAGGACATCAGCTTTCCATAGTGTAAAGAGTATATTTCTATTGTATTCTTTCTGTCTTAAAAAAAAAAAAGATGTAATTTATTTTCTCCCTTGGGGGTAAGAAAGCAACATTTGAAAGGTGGAGAGCCCCAGTTCCGAGGAGAAAGGATGATGGCTTTGAAGATTTGTCTTTTTAACACACAACCAAAAAATGAATAATTAATCCACCGTGTTGGTGAAGGGCTTTGAAGATGAAAGTGTCATTAAAAATCCAACTGTACTGGTTAATGTCAAAGAATGTGTTATCACACTGAAAATCAGATTTCCTGTTCTGCAAACCAGCACATTAAAGGCAGCTTCTACTTTAAAAGTCTGACTTAAAAACAAGAGAAGCAAAAACCCCCTACGTTTTCAATCAGACTTTCTGCCTATTCCTCGGGAGCCAAGGTGTCGCCCTAACATGTTTTTTTGACAAGTCCTACGCTTCCCTGTTTACTCTGATGATCTGCCTGAAGCAATTGGAAAAACACTTCCATCAAGGCAAATAAAATAGAAACAATTATTCCTTTCAGGCATAAGTTAGTCACATTTTAAAAGGTGTAGCTCCCTCTGAGGCTTGTACCAGTAAACAAACATATGTCATCTTGATTTCTCAGTAGAGTTGAGACCTATCAGGAGGAAGCCCTATTGGGCGAAAAGCCCACCAGAGAGGCAGACAATTAGACCACAAGGAGCTTTTGGGCCATGTCAAAGATGTTGGCCATTACTCTAAGAGTGATGGGAAATAAATGAGGTGTTTTGAGCAGACAGGTGACGTGGTAAGATTTGTTCGTCTAAAAGATCACTGCAGAATGCAGAGTAGATTGGAGGGGAACAAAAAAGAGAATAGTTAAGATACCATTTTTCATCCTCAGATTGGCAAAAATTTAAAAGATTGCTAGCAAGGATTGGGGGAAAGAGCAGAAGCATAAATGGCTGCAAGCTTTTGGGAAAATCATATTTATAGTGCACATCACATATCCTTTGACTCAGAGTTCTCTACAATTTTATCCTGCAAAAATAAATGCACCAGTGTGGATTTATATGTACAATAATATTTATTGCAGCATTGTTTGTAGTGATTAAAACAAGAGAATAAATGGAAATAGCTTGAATGTCCATCAATAGGGAAAGGGCTAATCCTTTTAGCATACTGTCTTATTAAAAATAATGAGTTAGATCTATATGTAAGAACTTGCAGAGGTGTCCATAACACGTTAAGTGAAAAAAAGCAAATGGTAGGGCAACGTATGCAGCATGAACTTAAAACGAACTATTCTGCACGATGTCTTTACATGAGCACAGAGAAAAAAGTAGAAGACACACTCTAAACTTTTGTCATTGGTTGCCTAAAAAAGGTGGCATTGGGGGGCTTCCCTGGTGGTGCAGTGGTTGAGAGTCCGCCTGCCGATGCAGGGGACATGGGTTCGTGCCCCGGTCCGAGAAGATGCCACATGCCGCAGAGCGGCTGGGCCCGTGAGCCATGGCCGCTGAGCCTGGCGCGTCCGGAGCCTGTGCTCCGCAACGGGAGAGGCCGCAACAGTGAGAGGCCCGCGTACCGCAAAAAAAAAAAAAAAAAAAGGTGGCATTGGGGATGGGGGAGTGGTTCACTTTTCTTTATGGATATTTCTACTATTTAAAGTATTACAAAGAACAAATAACTTTTGATTTTCTCTGATCTAGTGCACTTTAAAATACTAAGGTAAAATATACAGAAAACTCAAATGATACCCTCGTCTGACCTAAACAAACAGATTTATCATTATAATTTAAAGTTCTTGAGCCAAGTTTTCTGGCTTCTTATAAATTCTGTCTCTGAGGAATAAATATCTACAGGATTTTTTTCCCCACTACTAATACCACAATCAACAATGGCCGGACCCTGATCCTGTAGTGGTCTTTTTAGAGGGTCCAAGTAGTGTTATGATCACTACATGATCTATATGGTCACAAAGAATGCTGACACTCTTTCTTACACTTTTTGAAGGTGCATGTGCGTTGGAAATAAGTGGTTTTCCCAGTGAGATCCCAGTGAGAGAAGCATCATTTTACTCGCACAATGTGCGTGAGTGTGTATGTTGGGGGGGGTAATGGGGGGAGGGGCTGCCTTCTTTCTTATATAAGAGATCAAAAGAGGAGATTCTGACTCCCCATCACTCCCCAGTCAGTTTTCATCCAGACAAATGTTGTCGCCAACTTTAAAGATGTCTTTCTTAAGACTGGCTAGATCAAGTTACAGATAGGCAGAACCGCCAAGAGCGTTTGGGACTAGGTTTATGTAGTCCTACTTAGATCTGCTTGTAAAAGGGGAGATGGGATTCACCCAGGCTCAGGAGATTTAAAGGTATCTCTAAGGCCAAGGAAAACTTCCACCCCTAAAACTCAGACAGGTCTCTCATCACTTGCTTGAAATATGTTAGATAAAGAGACTTAGATTGGCCCTTCTTGTGAAGTATTTGATATCACATTGTAGACTTTGGTATCCTAAACCCATGGCACAGAGGGCTGCATACCCCCTGGACCCATACCTGCAATTTGCATCAGCTGCCACTGATGGGGGAACAGGGAAACATATGTATTATGTCATGATCCAAGTAAGATTTATCACAGGTGTAGTTACATAAATCTCAAATTGATGCTCTAACACAATTCTATCCAATTAGTTCTTTTCTATATAGCCCAAGTGTAAACTGTTTGTATTACCATGTGCAGCATTCACCAGGAGTCTTCTCAGGCACAACTAAACTTCAAGATTCATTAAGACTACCATGGGCCACATTTAGCATCAGATTCATTTGGAAGGATTTAGGTCAGGAACAATAGCTCTGAGCAGGGCAGAATTAGGTGTTATACCTCCCTGGGAGTCCTTGCAGTAATCTATGCAGAAATCTACATAGCTGCTCCCCCTTAACCCACCTGCGGCCAAGTGACAGCTCAGGTGCAAGGCAAGACCACTCACATCAGACCAGTGTGGCAGCTGCCCTGACTTAGATGTCTGGTACCCCTCGGGAGCCAGTATGTCTTGTAAAGACCCCATAGGCATAGCTTCCAGGGACCTCACCACGGGCCCAATTAGTCTTCACACTCAGAAAAGCCCAAAGCTATGCTCCCCCACCAGCTATAGTTGTGGCAACCCAGATGCAATCTAACAATCAGGTAATTGCTTTAATATAAGTCAGGCTGCCTAACAACATAGCTGACATTCGATCTTTATTAGGTTTCAGAGAAACAGATAACAGCAAGTTAACTGAAGGTCAAATTGTTGTGCAAGAAGAGGAAAAGTTTTATTAATCCTTTACCCACACCATTACATTCTATTTTAAAGATAATATAATTTACAGCAAGATTTAAAGAACCACAAATATTTAGGTACAATTTATTACTGTTCCTTTCTGAACTTCTCAAACACTATTTGCATTTTAACCTTGCCTATGCAGTCTTTTATTGAATAGAAATCTAAAACTTTGATGTAGTCAGATCCATTAATCCTTCCCTTGTGGTTTTTGTTTTTTCTCTCTTGCTTAAGGCTACCTTCTCCTACCACACATTTACAAGGCCTTTCCTTGTCTATGTGGCATCTTGGTGTGAATCAGAAAAATGTACCACATTCAAGGCTTGGAGAATGGATGGCTGACTTTGCAATTTATCTGAAAGAACTATTGAGCAAGGATGCCCAAATTTGGAAAAGAAGAGGAAAGTAACATGCACGTTTAAAAAAAGTTATTTATTTATTCATTCATTTTGGGCTACATTGGGTCTTCGGTGCTGGGCGCGGGCTTTTCTCTAGTTGTGGCGAGCGGGGACTACTCTTCGTTGCAGTGCATCGGCTTCTCAGTGCGGTGGCTTCTCTTGTTACAGAGCACGGGCTCTAGGCACGCGGGCTTCAGTAGTTGTGGCTCGCGGGCTCAGTAGTTGTGGCTCACGGGCTCTAGAGCATAGGCTCAGTAGTTGTGGCTCATGGGCTTAGTTGCTCCGCGGCATGTGGGATCTTCCCGGACCAGGGCTCAAACCCGTGTCTCCTGCATTGGCAGGAGGATTCTTAACCACTGTGCCACCAGGGAAACCCAACATGCACTTTTAATATCCGTGAGAGAGGAAAACTTTGGGATTCTAATTGGGATTGTGTTAAATATACAGATTAATTTGGAGAGAATTTACTTTTTCTTTTTTAACATTGAATCTCTCCTATATGAACATAGTAGAACTCATTTATTCAGGCCTTCTTTTTGCCCTTTAATAAAGTTTCCTATGTTTCTTCATGTAGATCTTACATGCTTCTTGTTATGGTTATCTCAGGATGTTTTACAGGTGTGATTGCTGCTGTGAATAGAATTTTTTCAAAGCTATTGACTTATTTCATGTTAATTTTTAATCCAGTCACCTCATGATCTCTCTTACTAGTTCTAATGATTTTTAAATGAGTGAAAATCTACATATAGTTAAACTCTCATATATTAAATACATCATTCAATGAGTTTTGATATATGTATACACTTGTGAAACAACACCCCACTCAAGATAGTTCTAATAGGTTTTTCGGGGGCCACACCACACAGCTTGTGGAATTCTAGTTCTCGGACCAGGGTT